TCCTCACCTTTGTAGAAGTAAAACTAGATGCCCAGTCTCCTCTAGTTCCCTTCGGCACTCTCTGCAAGCTAGAAAAATAGACTGGGTTATGGCAGAGAAGGGAGGCACTTGGGATCTTACAAGAAGCTGCGTAGATGTCACGTAGGAGACACCCTATCAGACTAGACCTGGAGGCCGGCCAGCCCTCAGTGTCCAGGGTTCCTCACAGCGATACGGAGGGGCCGCTTTTCGTGCTTTACAGCCAGCTTCTGCACCCACCAGCCCCCACTGTCCTCACAGTCACCTGTGGGAGCAAAGGCAGCTCATCTAATGAGGAGTCACTACAGAGAAGCAGCCCTCCTGCAGTTAGGCCTATAAATTGCCCTGCAAATGTAGGCAGTATCGCTGCACTGTGCCCCACACTGCCCCCACACTGCCCCCTCCTGGACGTCACTCTTCCCTGGCCAGTCGCAGCTTCTTCCCAAGCACACAGCCTGAGAAATGAGCCCCAGTCAGATCCCTTTCCCAGAAGCCTCCCTCTTAGTGACATCCTCAGAGATGTGGATCTGGGTGCTCCTGACCAGGGAGTCACGTCACGTCTGTCCTAGAAGGACAGAGCCTTACCTTTCAGAAGACAGCTCTTCTTCCTCCTTTTCTTCTGCCCCTTCTTCTCCATGTGGTTCTGAGAGACAAGAAAGTAAGGGAGGCTGGGACCCAGTTCTCCGTCTCTTCTCTCTGTGCAGTGTTCCCGAAGAGCACGACTTTCTATGCTTCACGAATAGAGTTCATTTGTAATGTGGCTAAAAACATTTTTCTATCTTTCTCTTTTAGAAAACAGAAAAGCTTTTCTATGTAAGCTCCCCGTGGATGTCCTTAGTCCTAATTCCTCTAATCAGGAAGCACAGACCCACAAGGGTCTAAGCTCCACCCACAAGGTTCTCCGCTCCCATTGGGGCCTCAGCTTCCCTGTACCAGAGTTAATCCAGCTTCTTCTGGAGTCCTGTGGAGTTGAGCACTCCTCAGGTTAGCCCAGCCCTGAGGACACCCTGCACACCAGGCCTCAGGCCCCTTCTCCACATGTCCCCAGTTCTCTTGAAACATCACTTCCCAGCCTTTGAGTCTCACTGTTTTATGTCACTAAGCCCTCTGCATCACACCACATAGCTAGTCTGAGAGTCTCAGAGGGATGTGTTCTGCCCCACCTGCCCCAGAAGAATAATTTTGTGACTATGATTTCCATTGTCTAAAGTCTCTCAACTGGATTTGAAAAAGTGGAACAAATTGTAAGGGAAAAAAAATAATTGTCTCTAAAAAAAAAAAAAATAGTTGTTTGTGGGTTTCTCTGACAAGTTGCTTACCTTTCTGTTGTTCTCTTTCTCAGTTGGCGGGAAGGATGGGTTGGTCTGAAGGAAAGGGATCAGTAGGATAAAGAGCACCACCCCTGACACAAAGGCGAGAATCATGTCCACTGCCCAGCTGGTGGACACCATGCTCAGCCATGTGGAACCAACACTTCCCAGAAAAAAGAGAGGATTCTCCATCGCCTGAACTGAAGTGGCCCCTCAGTCTACTACTGAGCCTGAGAGTTTGCCCACTGAGCAGGGGTGGGGCCCAGGCCTGCATCACAGAGCTGTGGTCTCTTCATCACAAAGGGTCCTGAGGGGGAGGGGGTGCCAGAAAGAAGAGGCTACACTTCCTCCCTCACCGCCCCCAACCTCCATCCCAGTACATCCTCCACCTGTGTGAGCCTTCCACATCCGTCTTCTACCCCACCTGCTCCGTGTGTTAGGGTTTCACCCCCTTGGCCCTGTTGGGACTGTTTCCTTGGTGTCTCCAACTGATTTCCATCAAGTTCACAGTTCAAGTACGGAGCTGCCTCTGAGATGTTCGTACTTCGCAGGCGTTACCACACTCAGGTTCTCCTCTTTCTGGACCTCCAACTTCCCACAGAATGAGATTGGGCCTTTTTTTGGGGGGGGGCATTATGTCAATTTCAGACATAAAACAAATTTCTTGCATATTTAGTTTAGTATTGTGAATTTGTTTTTCAGTACTGGGGATTGAACTCAGGACCCTGCACTTGCCAGGCAAGTGCTCATTCTATTGAGCTATCTCCCAGCCCCATTATTGTGAATTTTGAATCAAAACTTTACATAATTTTCCTAATTTTATTCTCTTCATCGAGATGGACAAAAAGAAAAGGAAAACTTAAGTTAGTGCATTATTAAAATTTTGCCCAACTAAATAAGTATTAAAACTGCAACCAATCTTAAAAGAACTGTAATTGCTTCTAAAAGCAATACAAAGCTGTAACAGAACTTTAGTGAGTTCTACACACAGATAATATATTTTCAGGCTCTGTTTTTCTCTGAATGTGATTTTTTTAATATTAAAGAGGAGATTTTATGAATATGGAGGCTCTAGTTGAAACTGTTTCCTTGTTTAACCTCTTCGGCTATGCCATCCACTGCTGCCTCTGGTTGCTTCTGAGGAGATGTCAACTATTAATCTCATTCTAGTTCCCTTGTATGTGAAGAAAAGTTTTTTTCAGACTGGGTGTGGTGCAGGCCTGTAATCCCAGATCTTGGGAGGCTGTAAACAGGCAGATCACTATGAGTCTGATCTAGTAGTGAGACCCTGAACACCCTGTAGACCCTTCCCGAAAATACAAAAATAAATAAATAAAAAGAAAAAAGAAAAATCTTTTCTCTACTGCTTTTAAGAGTATCTGACTTGCTAATCTATAATGCACTCAGAAGCTGATATGTCTGATTTTTACTTTAAGGGGAAATTTTATAAATTAGTATTTTATTTCAAAAGTGTAAGTTTTCAGCTATTATTCGTATAAGTATTGTTCTAATTACTTTCTCATTGTGGGAAAAATGCATGAAACTCTCACCAAGGAGAAAAAGTTTCGTTCAGTTTGTAAAGGTTTCAGCTCACCGTTGGCTGGATCCAAGGCAGGGAGGCACTGCAGAGGGGCACGGTGGAGGATGGCCGGTTCATGGCAGGGCAGGTAATAAGTAAAGACTTCCTTCTTTTTTTTTTAAGTCCACCCAGGCCACCAGCTTATTGATGGGTGCCACACACACCCAAGGCGGGTGGGTCTTCCCTCTTTGGTAAGCCTATCACCCATACCCAGAACTATACTAAGGCAATCAGTGGACTAATCCACCATCACACACCATGATCCATTTGGTGGGTCATTTCCAAAAGTCTCACCAATAGCCATTACAAGTATTTTTTCCCTTACTTTGATTCCTTTATTTCTGTGGCGCTCATTCCACCTATATTGGCTGGCTTGACAGCAAGGGTGTCTGGATATTACTGTACCCCTTACTCAAAAAAGTCTTAACTTCATTGTTTTGCTTTTGTTCCTTACCCTACATGAGTTGGACGTGTTATGTGGGTCTATTTCCCAGCTTTCTTTTCTGTTCTCTGCACGTGTTTGTTTAAACTTTCTCCAGGATCCCACTGTCTTGATACTGTTACTTGATAAGGGCGTTGGATTATATTTCTGTCTTTCTCAAGGACCACCTACATCCAAACTACACTGCTCAAGTTCATCCACTGACAGAGACACAGTATAAGCATTAAAGTGAGATAGAAGGCAACTCAATGAGGTCTGAAGCAGACCTGTGGATGGCTCCGCTGTTACGTGCCACAGTGTGCAGAACAGGGCCCTCCTGGCTTACTGCCTGCTGATCTTGTTGGATTGTGGGCCTGTGGTCATGGCTTACTCCTAAGTGGGCTAAAAATACACCAGGGTGCTGTAGCTGGCCTCCAGCTGTGGCACGCCACATTGTGCCCAGTTTTAGGGATCCCTCATGATCCTAGGCCTGTTGGCCAATGTATACGGTGTGGTTCACTGCATGTGCCCTGGCCTGTTGCTGCA